AGACTTTGTGTTGCATGCGTGCCCACCTTTATCCTTTGGTGTGCTGAAAGATATACTTTAAACTCTTGATCTCTTTTTAAGTGTCTTTTGCTCCTTGAGTTGTGTTCAAATATATGATTGGTTAGTATACCAGTGCAAAATATTAATTTGACCTTGTAAACATTAGCAACATGCTCCTATGCTTCTTAATTTTTGTCTTGTATTCTGATCTCAGCCTTCATGGCTTATACACATACTGACGCACAAGCCAGCATATTTCCACATCGGACATAAATGTAAGAATTCAAATTCGAATAAATAATTATTGTTTTCGTGTTAAGTCTTTAATTCCTTTTGACGTTAATTATTGCTACTGCAGACATGAGTCATGCTGTTCCACGGAGTTGATCGGTTAACTTATCCCAGTCATATAACCACAGTGGAAAAGATTTCCTCAGTAATATTCAAAGCATGTTAAATAATAATGCAGTATAAGGCAGAGATATACCTCACTTCATTGTGACCTCTAAATATATTCACAAAAACAAAATAAGAGGGGATCTCGTGGGGTTCCCTGTTGTTTATTATTTGAAAAACAGTGTGCAGTTGGTTCTCTTTGCTAATGACAGAAGCAGGCTTACCCTGCGAGGGCCTCCTCTTTGATTGTGCGCGGCAGCCTGTTGATGGTGCTGTCCATTACCGCCACGGCCTCGTCTCCTGCGAGCCATCTGGGATGTTCTTTTGTCATCCAACAATAACACTGCACAAGCCTGCTGCTCCTCTCAGTCAGCCCTACTACTGCAAGGGAAGGATCTCTAAAGCTGTGTGTCTGTTGAAGTATACATCCTATCACCCTGCCTGACCCTGGTGACAGGATAACATAGCGGGCAAAGTTCAGGCCACAGTGGTAAAGGCATTCAGAAATGTAGATTGCATTTGCAATCAATGCTGAGCTTGTAAAGATTTTCCCTTTATTTGTGCGGTGGCAGCAGCAGCATGATCCAGCGAGTGTTGATCCACTGAAAGTTCAGCTCTTTAACATTTTAGTACACATCTGTAAAAATATGCTTGCTTTTTTTTTTTTACCGTTTTTCAAAATTTTATTCCTTACATTTTAACATAAAGAATAGAGGCTGCACACGCAACACTGTAATTTTTTCTGAGAAAGCCATTCAAAATCAACTATGAAGCTGTAATGGGAGGTCAGACACTACCAGCCTTTGGAACCAAACACAGGGGACAGTGAGTCCCGGCATTTCTCAGAGTTGTTAAAAGTTAGCCACAGTGGCAGAAATCTGTGTATATCTTAAAATCAATACCATCCTGTCTTTCTTGTGCATTATAGCACATAATGCACATACTGGTTTTGACATCAACTCATTCAGCTTTTTGGTGCTGAAGTGTTTCCCTATGTAACACACACAAACACGACAAAGCTGCACACGAAACATTATTTTCTACACAAACATCAATAAAACTAAGACTTTTCAGGGAGGCTAGCTGCTAAAAAATGTTTTAGCCAGTCAGTGACTCTGTCTACTCTGTTTCAGTTCAAGTATATGAAAAACACTGAATAGTGTGATTACATAACTTTTCATTTAGTGCTAACATCTGGTCAAAGTTTCAGTTTGTCTAGCAGGATACTTTTATGACTAATATTCCCATCAGACATCTGCCTTTTTTCAATTAACTCTGCTCTCTTTAGTTTCACTTTAACTTTGAGCTGAGCTGTTTTTGAGTAAATGCAATGATTTTGTACAAAACACATTTTAAAAGTAATGCACCTAGCGCTAAGCACTGGTGCGTCTAAACCAATCTTGCCAGAACACACAAAGAGATAACAAGGCTGAAAGTCTTGTTATCTCTTTGGGTGTGTGTCATGTTCAGGAGATACCACAGATATGCAGCGATCTATATCTTTGTAATGTTTGTAAGGTATTTAGGACTTTATCAAAAGGTCCAAATTGTTTATTGTAGAACTATTTTTCTAAAGAGGAAACTTTGAGTCAAATAGTCGGTCACAGAGTGGATGATCAGCTCATACATATGTCTGCTTTTACGCATTACTGTACTGTAATCCGCAATAAAGTGTTGGGAAATCTTTAACTGCTTTATGGAGGTGAGCTCATAATGAACAACTGGCCTTGGTTTTCCAGAAGTGACTTATGGAAAATCCCTTGAACATGTTTCACTTTCATTGTTATTCCTCCCTGATAGATCGCAGCACTTTGAAAAACAAATGCTATTTTTTTGGTTCCAGATCAGAATAATCTCAGTCAGCAACAAGCATAACCGGTGTGATCACGCAGGAAGGGGGAGCGATTTCATGGAAATTTCTCACCTGTGAACACAATGACCTGGGGTAAGGGGGTGTGGTTATCTATGCGAAAGCATGCTGGGCGGGAGCATTGCTGTGCTGGAGCATTGCTGTGCTGTTCTTCTCACTTCCTGAACTGAAGGCCTCCAAATATGTGGAGGTACAAACACAGGATAACCTAACATTCAGGATCTTTGACACACCACGTTACCCTGCATTGAAGGTAAGACTGATTACAATAAAACCATTTCATATTCTTACATTCTTTGGAGAAAGGCAGAACCTGTACTATACAAAAGGCGTGTTCTATAAATCACCAGTCTCAGGGTGTTCAAGAAGCAAAGACATATTTTTCTGCTCTTATCTGACTCCTGTTTGGTAGATGAGTAACCAGTTAAGGATACGGTGTAAAGTATTAGAGAAAGAGAACCGTCTGTTTTGTTTGTGTGGTTATATTATGAACAGGATAATGTTTGAAATGTCTTTTTATGTAATAGTCTGACTGATTAATCTATTTCAGTTTAAAGTGGCCGTGTAAAGCATGCTCCTGTGGCAGTATCTGATAACCTTTCTGCTGGTTACTGTTCAAATATGCAAAGGTAGGAAACAAATCATGAAAATGTAAATGGCTTTCTTTACATATCAGCAGTGTGTGTGTGTGTGTGTGTGTGTCTGTACAGTGTTTGCACACACGTACAGCTGTGGTCACAAAACATATGACAAAAATGTATCACAAGTTTTCAGTCAAGCAGCATTTGAGGAAATGCTGTTTCTTGGAATTAGTTAAAGGTCCTCTTCTAATTTTACTGTAAGCGGAGTCACTGCTGATGTGCGACTGTTACTGAAAAACACATTTCTGTACTTTTCTTTTCATCTTAGTAAATAACCATCCTGTCAGTGATAAAATCTTTAAACAATCTAATAGTCTAGATATCATTTCAAGTTCTTACAAAGTCCGTGTCTAAAATATGCATTTGCTTAGCAGTAGATAGTTATATGTGCAGAGGTGTGTCCTGAGCTTGGGTGCTGTAAGTTTCAGTGAGTTAGTGCGAAATGAAAACTTGTAATGAGGAACAATGAACTACACCCTGAAACCAGTAGTACTGATGTCACAAGATGACATCAGCACAATGTTGGTTTGAGGTATTATACAAACACGCTTTTGGCACTAAGTGATCACAAAAAAATGGTTTGCATGCTTTAGTCACACTGATGTTAAATCTCTTACGAGAAACATGTGGCCAAGGTAGCAGCGATACAAATTCAAAACCCGTTAAAAATGCAGTATTAAAAGACAAGATCTACAACAGCAACAATATCTATGCTGGTCAGATCCATAAAGGTCCCACAAGTTACATGAGACATACACTGGATATGAGGAATGGAAGTAGTCACTGTGATGTCAGGTTTGAGGCCTTGATTTTGGGGTTCTGCCCTGTTTTAAATCATTTGTTCACAACGAAGCAAGCAGCAGTATTTAACCGGTAACTCCTCCAAAAGGCTCCAACACTGAGTCAATGAATTGGAGATGTCCAATTCATTGACTTGACTCAGCATAAATGAATGTTTGCGAGTCAATTGAGGATCAATTACTGTTGCATTTCATATTAAATAAATACATCCTCTGTACAGGTGAATAAGAGAATTGGTTATGGAGATCTAAACCAACTTTTATTAACAGGTTGTATTTTCGCCATAAAGTTTGTCATTTTAACACTGGAGTCTGGGTGGATTTACTTAAAGCCTCAAGTGAGCAGTGCGGGTCATGCTGAATCTGTGGCTTGATTGTTCAGAGATGTTAGGGCAGCAAATCGAGGGCCTGCTCAGTTAGCCAGGCGGTTTGATTGTTGTGGCTGATCAGTGTGTTGTGGTAGAGTAGGTGTTTAAAAACCTTTAAAATGTACTGCAAGTACAGGGTGTCAGAATAACGGGCTATATATATATATACTGTATATGACACATGCCTCTCAAGATGGCATAAAGTTTAGACGTATAGTATTTAGATGTTGTGCAATCTTTCCCATGCAATGTCTGCAGAGATCAATTACATAATATCTTATTTACCTGAATGCATCTGTCTTGTTTTGTTTTTTATCTCTTACCAGCTGAGAAATGCGATGACTTTACTGATCTGAATCTTGGTCACTCAATCATTGGTACCAGCCTCAAAGTTCGGTTGTTGCTATACACTAGATTAAATGGGACATGTGGTACCCTCATGTCCCCCACCGACCTGTCTGCCTACCCCCAATTTAACGCGTCAAAACCGACCACCTTCATCGTTCATGGGTATCGGCCCACTGGATCTCCACCGAAATGGCTCAACAAGCTCACTGAGGCTCTGCTGGTCAGGAAAGACATAAACGTTATAGTGGTAGACTGGAACTACGGTGCTGCGAATCTGAATTATTGGGAAGCAGTGAAGAACACACGCAAAGTAGCATCCAACATCACAGCTTTGATTAACATGTTGCAGGTATGGCAAGTTGTCTGATTTCAAATGTCAGAGTGTGTAGTGTCTAGCGATACTAAAACTGATATTTTTTCAGGAGCACGGAGCCAATCTGAGCTCCATCCACATGATTGGTGTCAGTCTAGGAGCTCACATATCAGGCTTTACGGGCGCTAACTTGAAGGGAGAAATTGGAAGAATAACAGGTAAGAGTGGCACTTACATTGACATCACTTCCACTTTCTGATATAGAATTAAAACCTGAAGTGGTATTTTTACTTGTTTTAAATCCCTCTAAAACAGGCCAATAGTAAAGTGAGCCTAATTTATGTTTCAGGTCTTAAGAACAATCTTATTTGACTCAATCTAAAGGAGAAGAAAACTTCTTAAGAACTTGTCCCATTGAGAAATTTGCATGACGTTTGGAAACTGACGTGCTTAAGGGTGACATTTTGTTGTGGCTCTTGACTGAGCTTTTAATTCCTAGATTTCCAACTTTAGAAGTCACTAATAGCAAAAGGAGATAAAGCCACTGTTGCTAAAGGGTTTAATAAAAGTTGCAGAGTGTATAAACAATGTGTTATTTGTCATGGTTGAGTTGTGGCGTCAAAGGAACATACCATGCTTCGGGTTTTGCCTGGGTTGGAGTCGCCATGAAAAAAGCGGCACGGTTTTGGTAAAATCCCTGAGGAGAGATGACGTTCAAAGATCACGCTAATTCTCTGGAGGCTCACTGAGAACATCTGGTTTAAAACAGCTTGGAAAAACTGTCACATGGAAAAAAAGATATGTGGAAAAAAATGAGAAAATGAGACAGCTATGAAGGTCAGCTGGGATAAGCGCTCGTCCTGGGTGTTGTCGGAATATTTAAGTGAGGTCAACATTCTGTTTTCTAGTGTTGTGTTTAGGACTGAATTTCAAGCTCGACTGATGTTTTCTAATGTGATGTTTGCAGCACTGGATCCTGCTGGGCCAGGGTTCAGAGGCCAAAACCCAGAGGACCGACTGGACTCTTCAGATGCACAGTTTGTGGATGCCTTGCACACGGACATGGATTGTCAGTCAATCACCTTATTTATTATTATGAAGAATTTCTTTTCTTTACACAAAACAGGCATACACGTTGTGTATGTGTGTCAATTTTTTATTGTTATATTACAGTGCTGGGTTTCAGGGAACCTTTAGGTCACATTGATTTCTACGCCAATGGAGGAGCAGACCAACCCGGCTGCCCAAAGACTATTTTCTCAGGTAAGATCAGTAAGTTTAGGAAACTTTTGGTATAAAGAACTGAACTTTATGTTAACAATTTACTTTCTTATCCCTGAAAAGGACAGTATTTTAAATGTGACCACCGGAGATCGGTGTACCTCTTCGCTGACTCTGTAAATGCCACATGTACCAGCAGGACCTACCCCTGCTCGTCCTATAAAGACTTTCTGGATGGCAAATGCTTAACCTGCAGTCAGTTTGGTAATGCTGGATGTCCTATTTTAGGTTGGTGATGAAAAACACACAGATTAAATTTTTTGTCAACTAACAGGCAGTTACGAAAATCCAAATATGCACATTTTGCCAGTTTGTATTTTATTTCTTTAGATTTTACTTTGTATTATTCAGCACTGACACAGGTGTTTTAACCTAACCCAGGTTATGGTGTCATAAAATGGAAAGACATCCTGCTGGAACAGAACCAAACAAAGGCCTACTTCAAAACAAACGGAAAATCTCCATACTGCAGTGAGTAACAGTTTACTAATGATCACAGTAAGCTATAAAAAAAATCCTTAATTTCAATACAGCATACAATCTGATTGTCAGCCTGCACTGCCACCTAGTGGTAGACTATACTTTTCTCAATGGTTTAACACATTTTAATGTGCCACTTTATTAGGTACACCTGTTCAACTTGTTATTAAAGCAAATATTTAATTAGTCAATCACATGATAGCATCTCGGTGCATTTAGTACATTTTCCAGAGGTCAGAGTAGAATGACCAGGCTGATTTGAGCTGTTAGGAAAGCAACAGTAACCACTCTTTACAAATAAAGGTATGCAGAAAAGCATCTCTGAATTCACAACATGTCAGACCAAATGGGCCACAGCAACAGAATCAGAAAGTCTTGCTCCTATCAGCTAAGAAAAGGAAACTGTGTTTAAAGTGTGCACAGGTCCACCAAAATTAGACAAATGAAGATTGGAAACACATTACCAGGTCTCAGGAGTGTCGTTGTCTGCTGTGAGATTTGGCATAAACAACATGATAATATTGATCTTTCCTGCCTTATTTTTGAGATATCCCAGATTGTGCTGGTGTAATGGTGTGTGGGATATCTTCTTGGCACACTTTGGAGCCCATATTATGAACTAAGCATTATTTGAGAGTCACAGTCTACCTGATTATTGTTGCTGACCATGTCCATCCCTTTATCACCACTGCTTCCAGCAAGATAACACGCTGTGTCAAAAAGCTCAAATCATCACAAACTAGTTTCTTGAGTATGACATTTAGTCCACTCTTCTCAAAGGGCCTCCACAGTCACCAGATCTCAATCCAACAAAGCACCTTTGGGATGTGGTGGAACGAAAGTTTTATATCCTTAATGTGCAGTTGAAAAATCTGCTGTAACTGTGTTTTGCTGTCATGTTAATGTGGACCAAAATCTCACAGGAACGTTTCCAGCACCTTGTTGATTCTATGCCATGAGGAATTTTTTTTAATTTTTTATAAAAAATCTAAATGAACAGTTATGTTTATAACCCTTGAAATGGGGAATGAGCCAGAGAAGCAAGACAGGTTAAGTGTGTTTTATAGTTCAAAACAAAAGACTTGAATTAAAAAATGTCATGTCTTTGCTCAGTGACAAACTACAGGATGGATGTGGTGATATGGAACAAGGATGTGCAGTGGGGATACTTGACTGTTAAACTTCATGGCGATGGTAAACAAGCACAGGCAACCATAGACCAGTAAGTCTCCTCTGCATATATAGCCAAGACTTGTCTTTATCTCCATGTTACTACCTTCTCTAACTAATGTATTTTCCCCCCTCATATTAGTAAATCCTTAAATTTCAAGAAGTTCACAGACACTGAGCTGTTGGCTGCATTTGACAAAGACATTCAGTGGGTGGAAAAGGTGTCTGTTAAATTCTCCACTGGGAATGTATTGCAGCCCAAACGTAAGCTCAGAATTCTCCGAATCCGTCTCAAAAACCTGGAACCTAAAGGGAATAAAGCACAGGGGTATGCTAAAATTTTACCTTTAAGAAATGACACGCAGCATCAGCTGGTTTCTTTGTTGAAGCACTTCTTATATCTCCCAGCTGTAGATTTACCGACGTGTCTGGTTTTTCCCCTCACAGGTCTCTGTGTCGATATGACGTCCTTCTCGAGGAGAACAAAGAGGTCACCTTCAGGCCAATTCCCTGTGAAGAATCCAACTTCTGAGGGGGGAAAGAAATTGCATAACATTTCACTGCATGTATGGAGAGAGATTCGGCTGATTCTACAGTTCTTCCAGAATTGTTCATGAAAAGACCAGGACTGCTAAAACAAAACAAAATAACACAATGTTGCCTCACAGTAAGAAGGTCTATGTTTGAGCCAACTGGCTCGCTGGGACTTTTCTGTGCAGTTTGCACTGTCCCACAGTCATTTGAGGGTTGGGTTAACTGGTGATTGAGTCCAAGTTCGGTGTTGGTGTAACTTTGAGCGTGGACGGTTGTCTGTCCCTGTTGTTAGTGCGATAGACTGGTGATTTGTCCAGGGTGTACCCTACAGCTGGGATAGGCCCCCTGCACCTCTGAACTGGATAAGTGGAAGATGGATGACTAGACCAGTAATGTGAATTAGACAGATTATCTGTCACAAATGAGTGAAAAAATACTAACATATTTACCTTTTTTGATAGAAAAGTAGGGCTGTCAACATTAACGCGCCATCACGATTAACGCGATTACATTTTTTTAACACATTTCACCCATCTGCTGCTCTCCAGATGGGTTAATTGCGTTAAAATTTTTAATCGCGTTAATCGTGATGACGGATTAATCCGCGTTAACCCGTTAACGTTGACAGCCCCTGTAGAACACATAATGTACGACTGATAGATTTTATTGACTTTAGGCACTGGCCTTTGTTTTTGTTGCTTGTCTTTGCTTTTATTCCTGTTTACTTTTTTTATGCCAATATAAATTTTCAACATACATATATCAGTAGTAACTATATTTATTTTTAATAAACACACAATGCACATCAGCACCCAGTAAATTTACATTCTTTGTGCAATCAGAAAGAAAACAAGTGCTATTTTTTTTCTTTTTAAGCCTAAAATCTGTGTGCTCATCCATATTACATTATTATAAACAAACTCTTTAGTCTCTGTAAATGAGCTGCTGCTTGTCATTTCTCATCCTTTTCTCTCTTGGAGTCACTGTCACAATGGATAAAAATGCAGTTCAATTATGCTGTAGTACATATTACCACCAATCATTGTCTTAATGGACGGTGATAAGTGAAATCTCCTGGAAAACTCAAAATGTGAGATTACAGTTCCCCGGCAAGAATGTTTATGAATGCCTTTGGTGACGTGACGAGAAAAAAACAAGATGTTTGATGTGTAACTGCGCCGGTCGTCTCCAGAGGAAAAGGACAGTTTGCTGCAGCCTCCGTCTTTATGTCTGCTTCCATCTTTGCACTTTCACCAGTGACTCAGTAAAAATATTAAGCCCTCTGGGTCAGCCCACTCAGCAGTCCAAAAAGAAATGGTAAATCAGAAATCTGATGAATCTGATGAAAGAATAGTCGTCTTTGCTCATTTAGACATGTGCTTCTTCATTCGCTGAATTTCCATCTAAAACGAAAAAAAATTGGATTTTGAAAAAAATCAAATCATGATAAATCTTCCTACCTTGAAGTGTTTGCGCCCATTGAAATACGATGTTACTAAATTTTATTATCCTCGGCCACTTTACCTGTAACGTTAAGCGAATCCTTTTCTCCTCATCCAGCTCATTCATCAGCAGTTTGATTTCTTTGCTGGAATAACACAATATTGTTAAATTAGCACAGCCAAAACCTGCCTGAAACTACAGTTGGTTGGTACTGATGCTGGGCTGGGAGTGTCAAATGCCCTCCAGAGTGAGGATGAGCAGGTAAACAGAAAACTGCAGATGTCTACAACTTATAGCTAATGTGCAATTAGGGAAAGACAGCCATACTTGTGCTGAGTCTTCATCTGTTCAAACTGGCCCTTCAGGTCTCTCAGCTCTGTCTGCAGTTGTTCCAGGTTTGGCGAGGCGTGCCCTTCTGGATTTCTGCTGGGCTGTGAGTTGATGCCTGCAGGCGGAGCTGGGTGCAGCACAGCAGAGATAGCCTTTGGCAGGAGAGAGGAGAAAGACTCTGTGGGCACAGTTTTGGTTTCTAATGCCTGTGGAAAACACAAAAGAAATATAAGAAGTTGTCATTTACTGCAGTTTAACAGCTGTGGATTGTACGACCTGTAGCATTTTATTTTATACACTGCTCGAAAAAATAAATAAAAATGAAAGGAACACTTTGAAAACACATCAGATCTCAATGGGAGGGAAAAAACTGTGCTGATATTTATACTGATATAGACTGCATGATGAATGATGGTAAATGGTCTGTATTTGTATAGCGCTTTACTTGGTCCTAAGGACCCCAAAGCGCTTTACACTATACATAATCATTCACACACTGGTGATGGCAAGCTACAGTGTAGCCACAGCCGCCCTGGGGCGCACTGACAGAGGTGAGGCTGCCGGACACTGGCGCCACCGGGCCCTCTGACCACCACCAGTAGGCAACGGGTGAAGTGTCTTGCCCAAGGACACAACGACCGAGACTGTCCAAGCCAGAGCTCGAACCGGCAACCTTCCGATTACAAGACGAACGCCCAACTCTTGAGCCACGATCATGGGGCGATCAAAAACAAAACAAAATAAAAACCCCAAACCTAACAACAACAAAAAAATCAACTTTAGAAAATATTTTTTAGAAATATATTCTTCAAATAAAAACAGGTTCACACATATTTCTATGATCTGATGATGCCACATTGTGAAATAGAAATAAAAATGATCAACCTACAAAGGGCCGAATTCAAAGACACTCTGAAAATCAAAGTGTGGTGTGCTGTGGGATCTTCTCTGGAGGAGGAACTGTCTGCATTTTCTCAACACATTGTGAAACACCATGAGGAACCCACAGGAGCACTGCACCAACATAGGGTCTGACAATCCAAGGACTTTATCCTGATAACTAACGGCTGTCAGGGTGCTGCTATCTAGCCTGAAGACGTCTGTGTGCCCCTCCATGGATATGCCTCCCCAGACCTCCTTGACCCACCACCAAACCAGTCATGCTGAACTACAGGCAGAATAGCGTTCTCCACAGCTTCTCCAGGCCCTTTCACGTCTTTCTCACACTCGGGGTGAGCCTGCTCTCATCTGTGAAAAGCACAGTGATGGACCTGCCAATTCTGGTATTCTAAGGCAAATACCAGTCGGCTCCATGGAGGACGTTGGGCCCTCAGGCCAGCCTCATGAATCAGTTTAATTGTTTGCTCAGAGACATTCACACCAGTGGCCTGCTGGAGGTCATGTTGTAGCGCTGGCAGTGCTCATCCTGTTCCTCTTTGCACAGATGATCAGATACGGTCCTGCTGATGGGTTAAGGACCTTCTACGCTCCTTTCCAGGTCTCCTAGAGTAACTGCCTGTTTCCTGAAATCTCCGTGCTCTTGAGACTGTGCTGGGAGACACAGCAAGCCTCCTGGCAATGGCATATATTGATGTGCTTTCCTGGAGCAGTTAGACTACCTGTGCAATCTATGTAGTGTCCAGGTGTCGTCTCGTGCTACTGGTAGTGACAGTGACCCTAGGCAAATGCAAAACTAGTGAAAAAACACTCAGGAAAAATGTCAGTGTCCTCCACCATGTAAAACCATTCCTTGTGTGTCATCGTTGGCCCTCAGTGCACCTGTTGTTAATTTTAGTAACAGCAAAGCAGCTGAAACTGATTAAGAACCTCCCTCTGGTCAATATTCTAAAAGTTTAATTATCTTGATGCTATGCTCTGATTAAAAAGTGTTAATTTCATTCATTTTTTGAGCAGTGCACTTACAGGCGGGATGGATCCATTCTGAGTTGTTTGTTGAGTTCCTTCTGGCAGCGAGTTCTTTACTTCACTCTGGGTTTTCTTTCGCTCCTCCTCCATCATGAGTGTTACCTGTAAAATAAAGTCTAGTTTGAGACGTCTGATAAGTAAAATCCATTAAATGGTGACATGTTGTTCTAGCTGTTGGTGTTTCTTAGTCCCCGAAGATGATTTTCAACACGATTACAAAAAAGGGGACCGATTCACTAGAGGGCAAGTACCTTTTAACTTTGTTTTAAGTAAGGAGTCAAAGTAGATATCTTCTGCGTCTCTACTTGTCTCTCTGTGTGTATGGGGCAGCTCAGAAAAGTTAAATTTATCCCAAGGACAGAGTGACACAAGCAGACCACACCACACACTCTTTTCAAACACAGCACCAAGCTATAAACAAACTGGACGATTAAGAAATGGAATGGCTTGGCTTGTAGATGGCTTTCATTAAAAATGTATACTTCCCAGAGTCCGAAGCTCTGACTGTAACCTCTCATCTACAGCATGAGCTGCGTGCTCATTCAGCTTCTCCGTGACAGACACAACTGACACAAACTCCTCAGTGTCTTTGAGAGAAATGGAGATTACACGTTAAAACACACCTCGCAGAGCTTGGAAGTCACTGAATGGTCATTCTTAGACATCTCGCTCCTTCTTTTGCACATTTTCAAAGTCTAGATTAACATTCTGCCTCAGACATGCAGCATCCGAGCACAGTAGCATTTCAATACATGTAACAAACAATAGTTGCAAGGCTTACCGGGAATGAGGGCTGAACTATAGCTGCCCATCGTGACAGAGAAGAATACAGTGAAAGACAGAAAAACCCTGCAGTGCCCTTAAGTCTACATCTACAAATGACAAATGGGAGCAAGTCAGTGGGACACAAATCAACAGAAACCTGTCAGCTCAGTGCAGTCTCACACCATGCTGCTTCTTTAAGAGATCTGTGCTCTTTGTCATGAATCAGGCCAGCAGCAGAAGTATTTCTTTATCAGTGAGTGTGAGAGAGACTAAATGTGTAAGAGCAGAGGCAGCTGTTTCTCTCATGCCACAGCAGTGAACTAATGTGCAACACATGCTGGAGCCAGTGCAGAGTAGGGAGCACAGTGACAGATTAGTAAACATAGTAAACCAATTACCAGATTATTGTCAGTTAAAGCCACGATCCGGAGCGCACGCTCACCTTGTTTTTCCAGCTTCGCCGCTGAGATAAAGCAGCATCTGCGGTAACCTGACACCACCCATTGTAATCCACAGTGGTCTGCAGAGTATGCTGCGATGAAGAGTGGTGCTGTCCGGTCTAAGTTTAGAGCAGAGCCCCCCCATTCTGCTCCCAAATATCAGCGGGGCACAGCAAAGGGCGTCACAGACTGTCGGCTGACAGTTGTTTAAACGGACAAACGATGCAAAAAAACAAAAAATCTAGAAGGTTGACGACTTCAGTTTAATTCTCACAAGCTGTTTCAAAACAGTCGTCAAAGGGTGAGCACGCTAGAGAGGCATATCCACCTAAGGTTTGCAATAATGTCTTCGTAAAAGGACATTCTTGTGAATGAGTTAGTAAAACGGTGAGTAAAAAAAAATAAAGAGAGGAAACAGAAGAGTTTCCAAACTCGCTCTACACACATTCACACTACTCGCATAACACAACAACAGACTGTCCTCCTGTCACAGTTCCAGAGATCAGCTGTTGTTGAATGCTTGAAAGCATTCATGTTGTTGAAAGAAAAAGATATGTCTTCAGCTTAGGTTTAAAAAGTGACCTCAAGCAAGCATCAAGCTGTCTGGGGTCACTTTGGAGGTCATTCCAAAGTGTCAGTGCCACAAGATGAAAGCCATGACCCCCTTTTTGTACACCTTTCAGCTGTGGGATGGGTCAGGAGTGAATAGGTTACAGACCTTGAGAATCTTGAGGGAGTATATGTACACATGCATTTCTACCAAGACCATTTAAAGCTTGAAACACAAGTACGATCACTTTACTTTGTAAGAGACGGAGCCGGTGCAGGACTGCTAACACTGGAGTAATGCAATCTCTTTTTTTTTTGTCGCAGTTCGTAGTCTGGCTGCAGAATTTTTAGAATAGTTGTAAGAGATGATTCACTAGTTGTTGCACAATGCTGCAGTCTAGGGGTAACAAAGGCACACATGGCTTTCTCTAGATCTGATGGACCTCTGGAAAAATTAGTATGAAAATTGTTCTGAGGTGGAAAAAACTGCTTCAGGACATGGCATTTGTCAAATTTGAAATATTTCAAAGATTTTTATTCGGTTTTAATAAAAGGAGTTAATGAAGACTAATTAACCTTCCAGCTCTCGGCTACACGCTGCATGATAAGTATCACGCAGTAATCATACTATGGGTTCACAGGCATGTTATAAGCATGAAGAGTGAGGTTTGAATAACATTTTAAATAGGCTCTAAAGATGCCTAATGACTGTAATTTCACAGTGCCCCAACTTTAAAAGATGTACAATATTTAGCAGCTAATATCAGTAATATTTAACTATTTACATTATGGAAATGTGAAGATTTTGAACTTTTTACTGTATTTTCATTAGCTTTTCCTATCAATAAAGACCCCCAACCCCCATTGCCACTCAAACTTCACCAAGGTACAAGAACACTTTCTGTGAATTACTAAAATAAACCTCAGAGAAAATAACTCTTTTACTCAGTGTGATTGTTTTTAATGTCGCTCTTAATTTGATCTGTTATTGTGTATTCTTTACGTTTGTACGGGATATTGTGTTTTAAATGTTATATACTTATGTGGTATGTGTATTTTGACTTTTGTTGCCAGGTCTCTCTTGGAAATGAGATTTTTAACCTAGATAAATAAAGGACTAATACAAAAAAAACAAAACAAAACAAAAAAAAAACCCATTTATTTTCTAAATGTATAATTACAGGATAGTCTGTATTTTTGTAGAAAACGGGAGAAAAAAAAACAAACAAAAACAGGAAATCTACAGCATCTGATTTAAACATTTGTGGCATCAACTCCCAAAACCTGTATCCACCGAGGTCTTTGCACTCATTAAAGGGTTACACAGTATGAAAATCATTGAATAATTTTAAATGTTGTACACTGTTAATGTTGTTTGGGAAAAAAAGAAAAAAAGGCTGAGACTGAGTGCTTAATCTCATTTTATTGAAAGTGTTTAAACACATTTTACAAGTAGTACCCAAGTGTCCACCGAGACTGTTTTCTAATCAAAGACATCTCATCGTGGGTCTTTATGGACAGTAAAAGTCAGATACTAAAGAGATTTTTTTTTTTTGCACTTAAATCTGAAATGTGACGCTGTTGGTATTAAAAAACAAACAAAAAACCCCAAACAAGGACTCCCATAGTCACAAGCAGCAATTACCAAATCATCTGAAGAGAGGAAAAAGCAGGGCTGTATAATACAATGGCCTATGTTACAGACAATGTCAACCAAAATACTGCAGTACTTTTACAAAGAATAAAGTAAAACACCAAAATAAATTGAATAAAAAGCTTTCACAATGCAGGATGGGATTGTAGTGAAGCTTTCTGCAGTCCCCCTGACAGCAAAGAGCTTGATGAGAATTTTTCTCCATCCATGTTAGCAGAACGTAGGACCTATACAAGAAAAAGAAAAAAATCTATAGAATCTTCTTACGTGTTGCTTCTGAAGCACGTATCAAACTTGAAGCCACTGATGCTTCCCAACTCACTAGTGGTCATCACCAGCGTTGCTGGTTGGGTCCTCGGTTGTACGGTGCGCGCTGACGCATCACTCTCATGTTACGGTATTTGGACACGATACTGTAACTCTTTCTGAACACTGGTCTCTGATTCGGGAAAGGACGCGGCACCAAGCTCTCCTTTTTCAAAAACAAACAAACATGTAATGAAGAATTCGTTTTAAAGAACGAATGCTTCTTTTCCAACAAGTGAGATGATCTCTCTACTTACCATGAGTGGTCTTCTAAAATTCCCAGACAGTTCAGGGCCCATCCTCCGTGGACCACCAGTGAACTTTGTTCTCTGTAAAAGCACAATGGTAAAAGCTGAGTATATACAGCATTTGTGTGATTGTACTGTAATAACAATACAAATTAGTTTTACATTTTCCAAAACATTACCGCTGTGTTTTTAAACTAGTTTCAATGTCAGGATGCTATAAAGTGTTAATAATAGTTTATCTTCATACCTCTGCAAGCTCAATATAGTCAGAGTTGGTTGATATGGACAAAGCTTTTATCACAATAGAGAAACAGGTCTGCATTACTAGCTGCAATAACCAGTCTATTCACCAACTCTTAAACTTATCAAAAATAAATGTTAAAATAAAATGTCCTTGAAAATCGGGAAACCTATGATTTTTGTTTCAAGTTTGAGAACAAATTAAATATCTAGCATTATTAATCGTGTTACAAATATGAGAATAGCATCTAACATCATTTAGACTTTCTTTCAGTCACCTCACACATTTACTTTTTCTACACTACAAGTATTTGGATAAGAATACTTAGCTTCAGGTTTAGCAGATGTCCTTTTGCAGATAACAGAAACATGTCCATTATGATTGGCTGTTGTGGTGGCGTAACGACACCCTTAAGTAATGTCTGACAGGCCACATTATTGCCTGTCTGAATTTAAACGCCTACAATTTTCGACACTGACATTCTTTCCCTTCAATAAAGTACTCTGATTGTTTTATAGCCCAGCATTAAATTTTTATTATGATTTCACTGAAAACATCTACATTAACATGCAGACTATTTAGTTTCTTTCATATTTGATCTTGCAAAGATATTTAATTATAATTACTTTACCTTATTAATGCAGACTGACATTGTTTTACACAAGTTTTGCTGATTATTACTGTACATTTAGAGCAGTCTGTCTTTATGGATTATCTTTTCTTCAGCACTGTTTCTTTCACTCACTTGCATGGGTCCGGGTCCGGGTCCTTTCCTTAAGGGTCTCCCAGGTCTGTAGCTGTCATGCATCATATTAACAGGCCTACAAAAAACAAATAGCCATCAGAAACCTGAAGAATACCTTATTTTTATGCTTCTGTGAAATCATACATTTTTCTCATACAGCTAAAAGAGCATGAGGCTGTTACAGCAGTCTTTGAAAAAGACTGAACCTCCTAGTAAAGCAAGAACACCGCCTCAAACGCTGGCATAGTTCTTTCCAATGTACCTAAAGACCCTCTTATCCAAATATTCCTGTTTTCTGTCTTCAGGAGAAGATCTGGTATCACTTGACTTAGAGAGGCGTCTGTTTGGTGTGGTATCGGCATCTGAACTGTGATCTAAAACCAAAAAAAAACATTTGAAGACACTGCTTAAAACAGTTGACACCTTCAACAGATTATTAGATGAAAAATAAAATAAAAATAAAAATGAGAAATAAGACAAGTACACAAAAACCTGACTTACCACTCTTTGACTTTGGGCTGCGGCCCTTTGGAGGCGAGCAGTCCTTGGAGGAGGAGCTCGGTCCAGGTGGCCAGTGCGACAAAACGACAAGATCACGTTTCTCTATGGGAGAAGATCTGAGGAGAAAGTCACAGAGGTGGTGTTGAGAACACCAGTTCTGAACATAAATAACTTGAAATCTCTGAATAAAAACAGACCTCTACTACAAACTAAAAGAAAGCCTGGCAGCTCTTAAGTAATGCAATTTAAACCAGTAATGAACAAAACTGTTTTGTATGCTGACAATTCAAAAAGCCACGCATCGCTTGGGTACTTACAAAAAACCCCATGGAATGTCCATGCTCCTTTACTCCTATTTTTGTACCCTGAATCAATCAGTGCTCTCTTCAATTACTCAGTGATTGACAGAGGAGCCAAATGTCGGACGACGTTAAGAGATCAGCTTAGATCAGATCAAGTCTTCTATCATCCCTCTTTCACAAGTGCAGGAAGGCAATGCATTTTCCCCCCAATGTCAGAATGAATTTCTGGAGGCTTTATAACCATGTTGTTCCTTTAGTCCTCTTCAGTTTTCATCATCCAAAGGGCTTCCCCGTGGTTTAAAGGGGAGATTGGAGTCATCAAGTGATCTATAGTTCTGAAGGTAGAGGCACAGCTTGGTTTTTCTTAGTTTCAAGAGATGATCTAAAGGTTGTCTGTTCACAAACAAGTCCAGGTTTAGAGTGGACTTACTTGAGGCTTTTTAGTGCCAACAAAGGAGGCTTCCATCCAATCATACTCTTGGGATGTTGGGATGTTAGGTATATTGGAAGAAAAGGCTGGGATCAGTTTACCAGTTCTGCCATTGATGGGGGACATTGGCACTCATTTCCTCTTCCATTGTAGTTTAAACTTACATTTGGGTAGATCAGTGATATTCGACGGAGAATGTTTGTTTGGGGTTTTTTGGTTCCTGAAA